CCTTAAAATCTGGAGCTCTGTAGATTAAGTAGGTTAACACCTATCTACTTTTTCATGGAAGATTAAGGACATTGTAAGAACAATGTATGAAGAAAATCTCAATGGAGATGCAGTTTGTGGTTGACTTAAAACATTGTTCTATATCACCATGAAGGGCATCTTTTTGTTAACTAATGTAAGACAGAGGAACATTATAAATTTTAACTATTTTTTCCAATTACTCTTAAAAAATATGGTAGAAATTCATTAAAATCCTAATGTATCTTCATAGGATTCTTAAGTATCTGTGATGTGTGATTTCACCCTAATTCAATATGGCCTTATCTCAACTAGAACTTCAAAAAGCATATTTCCAAATAAGGTCATATTCTGAGGATCTTGGTGGACATGAATATTTGGGGGACACTATTCAAGGTGTAAACATATAGAGAGCAAGAAGAGCTATGAAGATAAGAAAGAATTTCAGCTCAAATGTCACTGTATGTGAGAGCACAGTGGACAAAAATCAGCATAAGCTGGAACCAAGTGAACCTAGAATCAAACACTGGCTCTGCATCTTTCTGCATAAATGGCTTTGTCTTATTAGTGTATGTTTAAAAGAAATGAAGACTACTTAGGTCAGAGGGCTACTTGAAAGAGTGGACTAAATAAAGCTTACCAAACACCTGTAACATAATACGTGCTCATAAAACTTTCAATAATTAGTTTTGAAAACCTAATTCCATGCTCTTTTTTTCTCTCTTTTGTTAAATTTTTCTAGAACCTCAGGTCACTGTTAGTTTCTCCCTCATCATGATTCTGTATCACCATAATATCCCTTCAAATAACACTTACCAAATATATTACATTATTTCCCAACATAGAGCAACTTGAGCAAAGAAAATCTGCTTTATTAATATTTATATTCCCTGTGCTTATCAGAGTACATGGAGGGAATTAGGTAATTGAATAAACAAATGCCAGAGAAAGAAAATTATCACCATAATTTCAACCATATTTTCTTCAATTGCACATTATCCCGGGGCAGTATCATATTACAGTTATGAAGATAACACATATATCAGTCTGATTCTCAGCAAAGAAACATGGGGAAAGCAGCTATAATAACAAACACAAACAAAAACAGTGACCATCTTGGGTAATGTTGTCCTCTTATGTGGAAATATGAGCTTAGGTTGGAGATAAAAAAGTAAACTGCCTTCTTATCTTCAAATACCGAAATAGCTATTCTGACCAAGGGCTATTATGAACAGTGGCAGCTTCACTTTGTTCTCTGAATAGCCCCAGAAGACAAATGCTATCCTGAGGGATTTCAATTATAAAATCACAAATGTAAGCTCAAAAGAATAAAAAATTTCTCAAAATTTAGAAAATTCCAAGAGCGAATGATTGATTTTGGAGACACAGCCATCCATTTAGGGAACACCCTCAGACAGTGATCAGACAGAAGCTTGTTAAGAAGATTGCAAAACAAATGAAGTTAAGAAGTTGAGCAATTCATCAGTAAAACATTTGTACATCTGCGTCCTGTCAGCGCATTAAGTTAAGTACACTGTCCCAATTCAGAGTAATGAAATTATGTTTTCTTTCTTATGTTCCACATGAACACAATTCAGGATATTATACTGAAGGCATAGGCCTAATATTGATAAGTTCCTATCACTATTACTGATGAATTAATATTGCTCATAAAATATAATTAGGAAGGGGGGAGCAGACCATTTTAATTGACCCACAAAAAGTCATGGTGTAGGACACTGTGGAACAGTCATCTGAAGACTCTATTCAATGTGTGGTCCATGAATCAACAGCAACAGCATCATCCAGAAGCTTATCACAAATGCAGACTCTGAAGCCCCACTCTAGTTCCACACAATCAAAATCTGCATTTTCACAAACCCCAGATGATACACACACATTAAAGCTTCTAAGGACTATCAGAGTCATGTACATTTCTATACATATGAACCTTCCAGTAAATCACCTGTTGTAAACAAGGATAAGATTGTCCTATGACACCTAATAATATTAAATATAAAATTGAATTGCCATTATGGCACAACTGTAGTTGGCAAAAGTGGTCACATATTTATTTTATCTCCCCAATAAATTATTTTTGTAATGTCCCTGTTGATTGTGTTTGCTTTAGTCATATGAGTGGATATTACTTAATGGTATTTCTTATACAAATCTAAGCTTTCAACAAAAGCATAACCTATTTCAGGCAATATTATTTTATTTATGAGTGGGCTCATATTATTAGAGAAAAAATAATGTAATAAAATTCATAAATAATTAGTTCTTAAAACATAAATGTCAAAAACCACCAGCAGTGGAATACTGGGCATGCTATATCACTGGATTCTGATAAAAATAGAGAGATTGAATAAACATTTTGTTAACCCATATAGGCCTAAAGACCTGTTATTTAGGTGTAAAAATCATGTAAATTTTCTGTTTACTCTGAAGCATGCACAAGAATATTTGAGCCAAGATATTCTATTTGAAATGTTTAAAAAAGTAAATTTGGCCATGTAATAATAACTATCTAATTTTATGAGTTTGGCTAATCCAAAGTTGAGCACAGTCACTACTTTGATAAAATCCCTGACTTACCTCTTTTAATTACTTCAAATTTTGTGGACTTCTGGCCTCAGACAAGAAGAAATAGTCTCTCCAATGTGGTGTTCTTAAAGAATCGTGAATTCTGTTTTTATTCTGATAAAGATGAGTGATCTTAGTCCTGATTTCCTTAGAGTCTACCAACACATATTAAATAATTTCTTGCCTTTTTCTGACTCTTAATATCTGCACAATATGAAATACATATATTTCGTACACATTTGCGTCAATTGGCACCTCATCCCTGAAGAATTCTGAACCTCAGAGTCTACATCCATAGAGAATAAATTAAAATAAAATAGATAGTATAGAATCTGAATCAATATTACTTCACAATGGAATTTTTTCTCAAAGGAGGGCTTCTGAAAAAAAAAATACATCTTGACGCTGTCTTGAAAAATGGAACAAAGTTTCTTTGAACAAGAAGCACTTGATGCAATGAGACAGAAATCACAATTCAAATACTACATCTGAGAGTTAATACAAGTAGTTTTGGGAGATTGGACATAAGTATAAAAAATAAAATATAAAACAAAAAACTACACATAGACTTGGAAATACCTTGTTTTAGGTTTATTCAGAATGACTAAGGAAAGTCCTCTATTGGGTTAAAAACTCCCCAAGTCCATTTGCAGATTCACTTCTATACAAATGACATATGCTTAGGGGTCAAAAATCCCATACAATCATTTCTGGGATCAGTAAAATATACAATATTCTGAACCTTTAAATCAATCACATTAAGTTATGTTCAAGAACAGGGCTATACCAACTAAATTCCATGTAAGTTCTAATCCAAATGTAATTAGAATTCATAAACCTGGAAAATTCTAGGTTTTATAGAACAGTTTTGATGAGACTTTAAGAAGAGCTCATTTTGGTTTGGAATGATTGGCTTTAGGTCATAGATTGTTTAATAAAAGAAAAAAGCACCTTGTGTTTATTGGCCTATTGTCCTGCTTTGCTCATGCCTATCTGACTGGCTACCACATAAAGGCTGTGGGATAGCTGCAAAACTGTACACAATGGAAACATAAGAAGAAAGAAGAAAGAAATGATAGAAGAAATATATGAACCATTAATTATTGAGAATTTTCCCAAATGAATCTTGGACACCAAGCCACAGGTTCAGGAAGCTGAGAGAACACCAAGCAGGACATCCCAGCAAAAACTATACCTAGGCATATAATTTTCAAAATACAGAAAATCAAAGATAAAGAAGAAAAAAAAGAAGCTAGAGACAAAAAGTACCTTGGCCTGTAGCTTTCCATACTTCTATGGAAAATCATGTACATATGCACATACCAACCTATTTTATATATTAGGTAAGTTTTACTCCCACCGTTATATTTTTACAAATTATGATCAGTTCTACATATTAAACTTTGACTTGATTCCTTTCCATCTATCAGTGATTATGTCAGACAGTTTCCTCCAAACCAAAGCATGAACATAACTTATTCTTTTTATAATCAGCTGCACAACATTTCAAAGAAATAATGTATATTTCTACTAATAATACAGATCCTCTACAAAAGATGCTGCAATAATTATTTCTGGTATTCATATTTCTACAGCATATATTTCCAAATTTGAGACAGCTAAGTCAAAGATAATGTACTCTTTAATAGAAATCACCAAATTACAAATTACTTTATGGAAAAGTAGCTATTCATACTTAGCTACTTTAGCTATGGATAAAATTGTTGTTCATACACAAATGGTAACCTTACTAACCTTGCACATAATAATGTTTGCCAATCTAATAGATAAAAAAATTGCCTTGTCATTTTGATTTCATTTACTTGAGCAATTGTGAAGTTGAATATTATAACTATACATATACATATACTAGTACTAGTATATAATATATTTACTATATAATATAATTTATATACATATATTTAATTTGTGGCCACTTGCATTTCTAATTGTGTTAATTAGCCATTCATTTATGAGTTTGTTTCTGTGATGTGTTTCGTTTTTCTACTGTGTTTCATTTACTATTCCAACACTTTCCTATTGGGACATTAAATCATTGTGAGTCACTTGTTTTTGCCATTGTTCTCTCACTTTCCATTGTTCAGCATCTAACAAGGTCTATGAAACCTTTGTTAATAAGCTCTGTTGATCTTTTCCTTATAACAATTCCTTTCCTGGTCTGGAATAAAATATCTCGCCATATATAAGAATATATAAAAGTTCTCCTGGATTTCTTCTGGCATAAATTACATTTTCTTTTCTATTCTCCATCATTTTACAAAGGACAAGACTGATGTGAAGAAACATAAACAGTACTTTAGTATACAAGTAACCTGGTAATGGGCAGACTTGGGAATTTTCTAATTCTCTAATTTACCATCCAACACTGAATCACATTACTGCATTTTTCTTTCAAAGTTGCTTCTGAATGCACTTTTTATATCCTTGTTCCTCACACTGTAGATGAGGGGGTTCAGCATGGGGATGACCACAGTATAAAACAGAGAAATCACTTTATTGATATCTAGGGAGGAACCTGACTCAGGAAGAACATAGCTAAAAAAAAGAGCTCCATAAAGGATGCAGATGGCTGTCAGGTGAGAAGAACACGTGGAGAAAGCTTTCTGCCTCCCATCAGCAGTCTGGATCTTCAGGATGGCCACCAGGATGCACACATAGGAGATGGCGATGATCATGCCACTGAAGAACACAATAGCTCCAGCCAAGATGAAAAGCACCAACCTATTGTTCTGGGTCTCTGCACATGCTAGGGACAGCAGTGGTGAAATGTCACAGAAGTGATTGATAACATTTGAACCACAGAAAGGTAAGCAAAAAGTGAGAACTGTATTGGTCATTGTACTTATAAAAGCCATGGCATAGGGCCCTGCCACCAGCTGCACACAGACCCTCTGGGACATAATGAGATTATATGAAGTTAAAAGGAAAGGCATTCCAAGTTGAAGTGAGGAGATAAACAGAGGCAGGGAGGCAGGAACATACAAGTTGGTAGCATCTGAGGAGATGGCGTGGAAAGCACAATAATGGTCTCCAAAGATGTCCATCTCCTAATGTTAGGAGCCTATGAAGATGTTACCTTACATGGCAAAGGGGATTGTGCATATGTAATTAAATTAAGGGCTTTGTTAAGCATTTGATATTTTACATGTATTATTAATAAAGTAGATAATACATATCAGAATATGAACTTGCAAATCTTTGATAAACAGTCATCATTTTTGTACATACTTCCCTTATCTCCTTGGGAGAGACAGTTTCTGATAAGGGGCTATTTTGGTAAAACTCAAGTCCCAAGCAGAATTCCTCTAATGATTAGCTTATCTATATGCAAAACTAAGCAGAAGCTATTAACCTGTGCCATAGCAACAAATCAGGCTTGAACAAGATGGAGTCAGAGAGGCCAAGCATTTCATTCTGTTACCACGTCTAGAAACGAACCACGTCCAGAGAGGCCAAGCATTTCATTCTGTTACCACGTCTAGAAACGAACCACGTCCTTTCCTGCCATATACACCTCTGACATGAAGACAGAAATAAAAACAGCACTATTTTGTTTCTCACTGTAACAGGGTAAGTCTAAAAATTTGTAGTCTTGTCCCTTGACACCAAGTTTTGTAGTGTTAATAAAGGACTTCTGAGTTTTTGAGAAAATGCTTAAATTCAGAGAGTGGATTCATTTTTAAAGTGAAACAGTATGTGAAACTCAACACTACGAAAACACCAACATTGCCTTGAGGTTACAGACACATTGGCACTTGTTCAGGGTCCTGTCCTCTCTCCAGGAGAAGAGCAAGCTTGGAAAATAAGAAATCAGTGGTCATTACTTTTTTGTGTTTGTCAAAGCAGTTCCCTCTGAATTTATCCCTAACCCAACCCACTTGAAATCCAGATTTCTTAAGTAAATTGACCTTTAGTCTTGTAGCCAGTCTTTTAACAAAACTGTATAAACTAGTTCATGTTTTAGAGAGGTTGAGCATGTTCTTAGTGAAGTTCTCGCCTGACTTTGAGAGGTAAATGACAGTTAAAATTTCCTACAGCAAGCAGTTTCTAAGGGATATCTTTTTGTAATTTGTCCAAATGTTATTGGAAATTGTTTCCAATATTTCCATATCTTTTTGTATTATAAATTTATTGAACTACATTTGTAAGTGGGTTGCATTAATTCAGATTATTAAAATTATTCAGATAAAGTGGTTGCAAATTAGCTATAATAAAGCCGGGCTTGTACTAGTGAGTTGGAATGGGGTACAAGTAAAAAACAGGCATTGGCTTATGCAGTTATCTCTAGCATGTGAGAGATATGGGGAGCAATGGTAGCTATAGTACTAGAAGGCTGTTGTTGTTAAATACCATTAATATTCTAAAGGATGAAAATAACAGACTCAGACTCAACCCACACAAATTCCAATTCAGGATATGATGGCAAAGTCAGATATTCAAAAAGATCCTCAATTCCTAGAATTAGATACCAGATTATATGAAAACTCAACGTAAGAACCTGACAGTGAGAAATAGGATGATAAAGAAGCTGGATTGCCAAGTCTCCCTACAAAAGTCAGCACTCTAACAGGGAAGGAGTTAGACACTGAGAATTGAGATTTAAAAAATCTATCTGGTTATGTCTGAGATAGTCTAGTTCCCCTAAAGCTACTGAGCCTGCAGAAGTGGCCCTCTCCCCACTGCTGGAAGAGAGGAGCCTTCCTTTGCCTAGAGAATGTAGAAGACTCACTGAGTCAGATTTTTCATAAGAAAAAAAAAAGTGTTTTTTCTCAAGATCTAGCTCACCTCCCTTTATGGCCTTTAGATTTAATAACCAGAGGCAATGCTCAGAATGGTATGGCCTGATGACTAAGGAGAACTGGCCCTATTAGTCACCAGAATTATTATAGGACTTGACTGATAAGTACCAGTCAGAAGTGGGAAAGCTTGTGGAGTTATACATTTTGAGGGTAATGTGCTTAGGATGGAAGAAACATAAAGCTGGATAAGGAAGAACTTACTGATATGGAAGAACTCCAGTGACTCAGAAATTAGCTTGTAGGCAAGGTACCAGGAGCTGATTCTAATGCACTGTTGGGATGTCTCCTTGAATCCCTGGAAACACCGGCAGCCTACAATAGGTGGGCAGAGCTACCATTATTGCCATGGTTGAATGTTGAAGAAGAGGTCTAAATGCTTACAGACATAGGGATATTTGAAAGGACTTATGATGTAAGGCTAGACAAGATAACAGGTGACTATGTTCCTTCCACTAAAGCAATATAGAAAAGGACTATGGGAGGGACTTCAGCTTGGTGAGAAGCTCAGTGATATGAGTTGTAGTTATGAATCTAGGCTTCCTAAAGTCAATGGGGATTATAAAGTTCTAGAACACGTGAATCTAGAAATGAATGCCACCACCAAAGACATAAAGGATACAGTGGCGGTAGTAAGCATTATCTATTTCATTCAGCAGTATCGTTCCTCCAGAAACAAGATGGCTCTTAGAGAATGGCTGTGAACTGCTTCAAGTTCAACCAAGTACTAGCCCAACAGCAGTGCCATGTACATGGGATCATCTGTAAGGCCTCCAGTACATGATGTGCAGTGGATGGTTCGGGGAATGTATTATTTTCTATTCTGATTAGAAAAGAGCATCAGAAACCATTTACATTAATGTGAGATGAACAACAATATTCATTTACAATGTTTCCTCAAGGCTTCATTAACTCTCCTGCCCTCCTTAATATAGTCTACAGATATCTGGGCCCCTAGGATAGCTGGCCCCCATCCATTACTCTGAGTGTAGCATACACTACACTGATAACATCATACTGATAGAGCAGGTTACACAGGCAGTTGCTAGAACATTAGAGGTGTTATGCCAGAGGGTGAGAGATAAACCCTAATAAGATTCAAGAACTTGACCCTTTCGGTAAGTTTTCACAGGTCCTGTGAGTGTGGGCATGCTAGAATGTCCCCCCCCCCCCCCCCCACACACACACACACACACACAAGGTACAATTCATAGAGAAAGAATAAGAATGTCCTAATAGGCCACTTTGGGTTTTGGAGGAATATTTCTCCAACCCATATACCCAATGGGCTGCCAGCGCTTATGGATGCAGAGCAGGAAGGGCTCTACAGCAGGTCCCAGATGAAGTACAAGCAGTCCTGCCACTAGGCCACATGATGCAACAGACTCTATGATGCAAGTTGTAGTAGCAGGAAAACAAGCAGTATGGAGCTTCTTACAAGCCTCCGTGAGAGAATGATGCAGGTCCTGGGTTACAGGAGCAATTCTATGCCATCTGAAGTAAAGAATGTCCTGGCTTTTGAGAAAAACCTCCTGGTCTGATTCTGGGCCCTTGCAAAGAGGGCATTGTGTGAGTAGGTAGCCAGGCCTGCCATATGAGCTGGGTCCTGGCTGATCCTCCAATGATAAAGTCAGAGGAAAATGGTACATCTAAATCGAGCCCCAGTGGGACCAGAGGGCTTGATTAAGCTACAACTCAAATATGTATGAATAAAACCTCTTCTTTTCTACCTCCAATACCACTCTTAATGAAGTAATCAAAGTCAGGATGTTGTTGATTATCCTTTATATTTCTCCCTATGCTCATTTACATGTGCATTTACATGTATATTTCATTCATCACATAGATTTTCCTTTTTTCTTAAATATTAGTACTGCACATTGATCTTCAACTTGGTCTTTTTTCACCAACAGTGACAGTATACAATAGTTCTCTCCAGGTCAGTCCATGATTACCTAATTCAGTGTTTTTATTTACTGCACAACATTTCACAGAAAAAACAGTACTTTTCTTAGAATGATAGATCTTCAAGTCATTTCTGTTCTTTTTCTTTGCCACTACACATTATGCTGAAATATGTGTTATCTTATGCATTGGCATTTATATTTCTGTAGTCTAGATTTCTAAAGGAGGGATTTCTAGGTCAAATGCCATATACATTTTAAATAGAAACTACCAAGTTATTTTGTAGAAATGGGGCTATTCATCCTAGCATCAGGAAAAATAACAGTGTACATCATCCAACAGGAACTTCGCCATCATTGAAAACTTTTAACGTTTCATCTGCTATGAAAGGCACTGCATTGCATTTTCATTTAATTTCATTTACTTGACCAATAATGATGTTGAACATTTTTCCATACATTTTTTGGCAATTTGCATTCCCATTTCTGTGAACTGCCTATTCATTTGTCCATTTATTCACTGTTTTTATTTTTATTGTAAATTTTGGAATGTTCTTTGAATAGGGAATAAGGAATATTATCATATTGTTTGGCACATCTGAACAAATTTTTTCTCTCATTTTATTGCTTGTCTTTTAATACTGTTCCTGGTGCTTTGATTTTTCCATAATAACTTTTAGTTTTATAGTTTTAATTAAATAGTATTCATGTACCCATGATGGTACATTTACCTAAGTTTTCTTCCAGTATATTTGCACATTTATATTCTCAATTCATCTTAATATTTTGAAACCACATGATGTCACAGTGAACAAGGCTAAGGCAGGGAAATATTTAAGAACTACTCCTTTTTTTTTTTTCAAATAACCTAGCAGAGCCAGGACTTACCTGCAGTTTCTGATTTCCACTCCAATATTCTGTGCATTCTGTACAACATCTGTGGTGCAGCACACATAGAATTCTATTCTAACTACCTATTAGAATTTTTTTCTTTCAAACTTCCTCTTGAATGCATCTTTCACCTCCTTGTTTCTCAAGCTGTAGATAGGAGGGTTCAGCATGGGGATGACCACAGTATAAAACAGAGAAATCACTTTATTGATATCTAAGAAGGAACCTGAGTCAGGCACAACATAGATATAGAAAAGAGTCCCGTATAGGATGGAGACAGCTGCCAGGTGAGAAGAACAAGTGGAGAAAGCCTTCCTCCTCCCATCAGCAGTCTGGATCTTCATGATGGCCACAAGGATGCACACATAGGAGATAGTAATGATTAGGCCACTGAGGACTCCTACAGCTCCAGCCAAGATGAAAAGCACTAACCTATTGTTCTGGGTGTCTGCACATGCTAGGGACAGCAGTGGTGAAATGTCACAGAAGAAGTGATTGATAACATTTGGTCCACAGAAAGGTAAGCAAAAAGTGAGAACTGTATGGGTCATTGTACTTATAAGAGCCATGGCATAGGGCCCTGCCACCAGCTGCACACAGACCCTCTGGGACATAATGAGGGAATACAACAAAGGCTTACAGATGGCCATATACCAGTCATAGGCCATGGAAGCCAGGAGGAAGCATTCAGTTGCCACAAAAAGACCAAAGAACCACATCTGTGCAGCACAACCCATGAAAGAGATGCTTCTTTTCTCTGCAAAGATATCACACAGTGTCTTGGGGGCAATGGAGGAAGAGGAACAAATATCTACAAAGGACAAGTGGCTGAGGAAAAAGTACATGGGTGTGTGGAGCCTGGGATCAATCCATATGAGAGTGATCATCCCCAAGTTACCCCCCAGCGTGACAAGATAGATGAAGAGAAGCATGACAAAAAGGCCAGTCTGCTGATGGAGATGATCTGTGAGGCCCACGAAAAGAAATTCAGTCACTGCGGTCTGATTCTTGTCTGCCATTGGTCATTTATAATCTGCTACAAAAAAGAAAAGCATTTTCATTATAAAACATATATCATTCACAGTCACAAATAATATTTTAACCTAATGACAGATTAGCTAATCAGATCTATAATATACAATTATTGAAACGTTGTTGAACTGGAAGACAATATTTCTAGAAACTAGGTCTGGACAGTGGTGCAAAAATCTTGCACATTCTTGGGCTATTTACCCTTGATCTCTTTGGATTTCATACTCTCTCTCATAAAAAGAGTCCAACTATCTAAAACTCCTTCAAGTTATAAAATTGTATTTAAAATGAGAATTATTCTTTATGATTCACCTTAGATGGAATAGTAAAATCCACTCAAGAATACCCTCACTGGGAGTGCTGTAAGAGCCAATGAACTATTCAGACCCTAACATCAGCCATTGGGAAAGACTAAGCAGGGAAGTTCTTGTTCTTACTGAATAATCAGTGCCATTCTAACATTATCAACACACAATTTATAGATGTGTGCATCAACCTATTTCCTACTACTATTTATAAAAGGATGTGGAGATGATAACACACAAATGACAAAAGGGTTATTCATAGAAGGGACTGTGATGTGTGAAGAAATTAAGAGGTTCCACCTTTGAGATCAAGTGATAAATGTTGGACAGCAGGTTGTCATGGAAACTGCATAGAAAATAAAGCATCTGTTGCACCAAAATAATGTAAAATTATTTTATGTGATTTCTCATATTTTTATAAACAGCTTTTAAGGCACTTATCCTGAAATCTGGCAGGCAATGTCAATTATAGTAATAAAATATGTAAAATATCAAATGCATAATATTTTATGCAGGGAACATTCTCAAGAAAGTATTATTTTCTGACTAATTAGTCAAAGAGAAAACTGTTGAAAAATTATAGAAAAAGAACACTATGTAGGATAATTTATATGAAAAAAAGTCTGGTTTTAAGTAACATTTATTATCACTTTAATTAATGTCCTCTTTGGATAAAATGAAACAAGATAGTACTCTTGAATTATACAATAATTACATGTGGAACTTGACATTGTGATGCTATCTATTCTATTTATGATTATTTCACTATTATCATGATCATTTGCTTAGTGCTATGTGGAGTATATATTCAGCAGTCACAAAGACAATTCCCGGTTTATATTAGAAGCATCACCTATTGCATGAATTTTTTGTTTATGCCCATCCAACTATGTCTATATAGGTATGTGAGCATAGGGGGTGTACAGACTGCTTCTGGTTTCTTTCTTTCTCTTCCTCCCTTTCTTTTTTTCTTTCCATCTTCTTTTCTTCTTTCCATCCCTCACTCTGTCCTTTCTTCCTTTCTGATTTATGTATTTATTTATTTGAATATAAGTCATTTTGAATCTTCTTTATATCAAAGAGGAGGATCTCTCTAGTCTAGCCCTTTCATACCTAACATTCTGTGACCTCACAGACATTACAGTATCTCTATATTATAAAGAAATAAACAGGAAGTTCAGTTCAGAAAAAGTCACACAAACCAGTTCTCTAGTCTCATGCGGTTGTGAACAAAATGCCAAGGTCTCCTCTCTTTAGAGAGCCTGGGGCGGGGTGGTTACATTCCCAGGACTCATCTCATGCTTCTCCACCATATTTCAAAAATATCACATTATCCAAAAGCAGTTTACTCACTTCTTTTTTTTAAGTTAAATGTATTGGATTGACATTGTTTAGTAAAATTACAAAATGTTTCAAGTGTATATTTTTATGCTGCATCATCAGTATATTGCATGTGTGCCCACCAGCCAAAGTCAAATCATCTTCCATCACCATGTATTTGACCCCCTTTACTACCACCTGACTCCTCTTCCCTCTGGTAACCACCAGACTGTTGTCTGTGTCTATGCGTTTCAGTTTTATATCCCACATATGTACTCACTTCTTTAAGGATATCCTTTATGTATCGTCATTAACTGTTTTAAAGGAAAGGATCATCTTCTGGAAGTAAGAGTGGAACAGTCAACTCCCCTCATGGTGGTAGCCTTGGCAAGGTCATGACTTTCTAGGTACTTGGTGAAGGAGGCAACTGCCCCATCTTAAAGGGGCTGGGAGTTAAGAGACCTGCGCATTGACTCACCAACTTCCCAGAATAAGGGACATTTTCTTAGGAGTTTTCAATAATTTAGAGCCAGGTCCCCAAAGAACAAAAACCTCAAGAGTGTACACCTGAAGGGACAAAATTAAAATGATCTAGGTGGCATCTGGACCAAGTATTATTTCTAAACTGTACTTTTTCTTAAAGAGAGAATTGTTTAAAAACAACAACATTGTAGGGTTTCTTTTACCCTGGGGGATCCTTCTTTGCCAAAAGAGAACCCTCTTTTCTATCCGTGGGGAATGACTCTTTGAGCAGCCAGAACCAGCTGGGATGAAATAATTTGCTGCCTGGATTCTGGAGCTACATTTCCTTGGTGTAAAATCTCAATCCATAGTTTACTAACTGTGTCACTTTGAGCAAGCTTCTACAGCTCTCTGTGCTTCGTTCTCTTAATCTCTAAAATACAGAAAGCAATGGTTTCTAGCTTAACAGAGATGTTGGGAGAGTTTAATGAAATAATACATTTAAAGTTACTTACAACAAAATGTCCAGCACAGAATCAGTGCTGATTGGTGTAATTTATTGTTGTTAAAGATCTATAAGGCAGCTGGGGAGATATCTAGACATAAAAATAAAATGGCAGCTTAAAGTGGCATCTGCTTATTTCTAGGCAAACATAATAACCAGTCACTGGACTCCAAAGCTGGAATAGCTGAGAAAATTTTCAACAAAGGAATTGGTCTGGAAAGACAAACTTTAGATAACTAAAGGTAAGAGGAAAGGTATTTCAGGCAATGCTAATGAAATGAACAGAAGCAGGGGGCCAGAAAGAGAAGCTAAGAAGTTGTTTGGGATGGAAAAATCACACAAGAGAAAAGAAGGTGTATAGTCTGATGACATAGGTTGAACTATCTCAATCACTACCTTCTTAAGAACCTGATTGCTTATTCTATCAAGGAGAGCAGATATCTCATCTATCAACTTCCATAATATTTCAGAGGACCTCATTTTTAACTCCCATTAAGTATCCATCTTAGGAGATTGTCAATAATTGGTGTTGTATTAGTATTTGTTGAATTAATGGAAGATAACCACCAAATATATAATTGATATGGTTCATAATTTAGCAATTAGAATCATGTTATATACAAGGGGAAAGTATGTCTATGTGTTATTCTTTTTAACAAGCAATAAGAAAAACATTTTTTAAAAAAGGAAATGACATTTTTTAAACCTAAAAAGAAAAGGTAATGTGGAAAATAACAGAAAAAAAGTACCCTATTAACAGAACATTACAGAAAAATCTTTTTATTACTTTTTTTAAAATAAAAGCATCCAGCCTGTGGAATAGCAAGGTTGGGAAAAAAAGTAACAAAAGCATATCAGGTGGTGGGAAGTAAGCTGGCTGAACCGAGGAAAGAAAATGAGAATTGTTAGTCACATGACACAAAACAAAAACAAGAGCATAGACCAGTGATGGTGAACCTATGACACGCGAACTCATTTTTTTGGTTGATTTTTCTTTGTTAAATGGCATTTAAATATATAAAATAAATATCAAAAATATAAATCTTTGTTTTACTATGGTTGCAAATATCAAAAAATTTCTATATGTGACACAGCACCAGAGTTAAGTTAGGGTTTTTCAAAACGCTGACACGCCGAGCTCAAAAGGTTCGCCATCACTGGATAGACACTACTTAAAATAACCATGGACATTAAAGAAATCTTTGAGAAAATTTTAAAAATAAACTACAATTTCAAAATGTTCAGAAAGAAAATGATAAATAAGGCAGAAAGGAAGATCAAACCTACAAATAACTGGCAAATTTAAAGAAGAGAGATGGTAACATGTACATTTTTTCAAATTATAACAAGATGTTTACCTATGTAATAAAAGTAAACAATATTTCTTAAGAAAAATATAAAATAAGTAACTCATAGCTTATTCTAGTAAAGTAAATACCTCTTCTTAATTGAAGAGGAAAAAATTCAAACTGTTCTCAGAATTCTTCACAATGTCAATCCATACTACTTTGATTACAGTGAATGCTCAGATAGAACCAAGATCAGAAAACTGTAGGGATTGTAGGAAATGATGATATTACAATAATGATATAATCAATAATGATACTACAACTAATATAGTAATATCATCAACACAAATAAAATTAAAGAAGAGGAAAATTTATAGGTACTATTTGTCCACTAATCTCCTCCTCACACTGTAGAGAGTCAGTACTATATAAATGTAACACAGTTTTTTATATGTAAATATATCTTAAGAATTAGAAAATTTTCCATTAGGAGCACTAAAGATAATAATATAATCTACCAAGAGCAGGCTATGGAAGAAAAATAAGAATAAATATCCTAATGGTTAACTCTCTTATACTGATTCTAGAGGCCTGGTGCACGAATTCGTACACCGGTGGGGTCCCTTGGCCTGGCCTGCGGGGATCAGGCCGAAACTGGCTCTCTGACATCCCCTGAGGGGTCCCAGATTGCAAGAGGGTGGTTCTTGGGTGATGCAACCTGGAATCGGCCTCCCTTCTCTCTGGTTCCCGGTGTGTCACCCGAGAACCACTGCTGCCAAGTCACCGCAGCTCGGCAGCTCCTGCGTTGAGCATCTGCCCCCTGGTGGTCAGTGTACGTCATAGCTACTGGCCAGTCAGCCAATCACCAGTCGCTTAGGCTATATAGATAGTTCTAAGGTAATAATTTAAAAAATAGAAGTTTATTATATATAATTCTAAAGATTAACATCAGAAAAGATAAAAATGAATTATAAAAATTTTAAATTATCAGAATAAATTCACCTACTTTACATATGCCCAAAACATTTTTAAAAATCACACCATGAAATAAAATATTTTTAAAACAAACATTAAAGGTAGAAAGCTTTAAAAAAAATAGAATGGCACAACTAAGACCAAATTTATTCATTGTTGCAAAAAATTAGAAATATTCTTTTTTCAATAAGGAACATGTTAAATAAACATTTTTCTAAATGAGTTAGAGTAGAGTGTGTTGACATCACACAATATCCTGTAAAATATTTGACTTAAAAAAAAAACAAGAACAGAGATGCATACAGGTGAGCTTTCATTTATGTTATATGTGTGTACATGTACGTTTGTGTATACTTTTATCCCCAGAGAAAAGTCTCTTGATACTAAATCTCTTCCTAAGGAACCATTTGGAGTGAATGTAAAACTTACATTTCTTTGTATTTCCTCCTATGCAATTTAGATTTTGTCCTCTGTGCAAACATATTTTATATGTGAAAAAGAACAAACACTAAAAATCATGTTGGAAGAAATTTCTAATCAGATGAGAAGATATTCATATATTCATTAATGTTAAAAACAAAATATGAAATAGTACATACAGCATGCATGATCTGACTAAGGAATTACATCCAGATCAACTATTTTACACATCCTCACCGCTAGACTGTATATTTTTTACTTTCTTCCAGTAGTTTTGCCAAAAAGAAATGTAACAGGTACTCCACTAGCTATAAAGCAAGAAATGGACTTCTTTAGAAAATGCACATTTATTTCAACAGGAGTAATCCAGGTGTTGGTGGAGATGGTCCCAGCAGGCAGTGGCTTCTGGATGTTGACGTCCCACCTTACACCACCACCTCACATTCATTGTCGTGTCTCCTCCTTGGTGCCTAGAATCTTATCCCTGGCATGCAGCCAAGTACTGGAATTATAAAGTTGGTGCTGCTGATGTGATAAATGAAACCATAAGGCCATATCTTAATATCCCGAGTTGTTTATTTGAGTCATATTTGTAGTTTCTCCTGAACTAGAAACTACTTTAGTAGTTAAGGTAAGCTTTCGCCACTTACTCCTAGGGCATCCCTGCATAATTATGAGATTGCTTCTCAAATTACTGGCCAGCAAAAAGGATCTTGGCTAAATTTCAGGAAGGACAGAACGTGTGCATACCCTGCTTCCCTTTGTTACATCGGTCAGAGTGCAAGCGCTGCTGCTCCTTCACTGCAGCCACCTGCAAGGATCTGACCATTTCTCTTCCCACTACTTCTCCAAGAGATGCCAAAAACGAGGTTACACTCCCCAGGAGCAATTTTCAACCAAAGATGAATTCAAAGAAATGGGGAAATGAGGCAAAAGTGGAGAAAGAACAGATGAAATAAAAAACAAGAAGGTAGATTTGAGCCCAAGCATGTCAATAATCACTCTAAATGTAAATGTGCCATATACTTATTTAATAGTAAAATTTGTATTATTGTTTAAAAAACAAGATCAGTGATATTCCTCTAAGAGAAACCCACTTTAAATATGAAGACACAAACTGGTTAGCATTAAATGGCTGGAGAATGATAAGCCTTGTTAATATTAACCGAAAGAGAGCTGGTGCAGCTATATTAGACAAAGTATATGTTAAAGCAGAGAAAATGACTAGGGATTAAAAAAAAGGTAATTCCACAATGATAAAGGGGTCAATATATCAAGAAGACATAATCCTAAACATTTATAAACCTAATAACAGAGCTTCAAAATATATGATGCAAACACTGATGTAACTGTAAGAAAAAAAATTAGAATTCTGGATTGATAACTGAATATATATGTATTAATATATATATTACATATTTTTAAGTACTAAATATATATTATTATATATACATTAGTGTATATCCTATGTAATAAAAGCCTAGGTGGTGTCACGTCCTCATGCAACGCCTTCGTGCGATGCCCTCGCGTGACGTCACCGTAATATGGCTGCCACAAGATGTCTGTTACAAGATGGTTGCCAGAAGATGACCATCACAAGATGGCAAGCAGGGGAGGGAAGTTGTGGGAGATCAGGCGGGTAGGGAAGGGTAGTTAGGAGCAAGATCTCGCTGGCAGGGGAGGGCAGTTGGGGGTGATCAGGC